ACATCTTCCTGTTTCTTGTTAGATAGGATAAGCAAATATTTTTTCCACCATAAGCAAAACATATTTTATTTCAATTTTACTTTTCTCTCATTCGAAGATTCAATCATATTTTTTTCTTTATATCATTAAAAACAAAATGAATATAAAAAAACATTTGAAAAAAAACACAGGTAGTGGGGGATAATCCCATCCACTTTCTATCATTCAAAGTGAATTAGATATTTTTTAAAAGTCCTAAAGAATAGAAGGCACAGGTAGTGGGGATTGGTGGGGAGGGTGAGTGGTTTTTTTTTTTTTTTTTTTTTTCTTCGTTTTTTTTAGCCCTCTCGAATGCCTTTATCATCACAGGTCAGTGAACAACAAGAATGTGATGGCGAAAGATAACTGATTTTATTTTAATTTATATGTATGTTTATGTATGTATAGTTCTGTTTCTTTTTTTCTTCTTTTTTTGTTTTGTGTTCTTTTTTTGTGTATTTTAAATTTTTATTTCTTTTGCGTGTGTCATTAAAACACTTTTGTTGATTAATATTTCGAGATACGTTAAGACTATGTGAGAAAATAACTTTTTTTTTTAATTTGTTTCAACAGGTGAGATGATGGAACGGAGTTAAAAGCGACGTACGGTATGGTATTAAAATATGTTGTTCTCTCTCTTTCTTTTTTTCTTTCTTTCTTTCATTCTCTCTCTCTCTCTCTCTCTCTCTCTCCTCCTCTCTCTCTCTCTCTCTCTCTCTCTCTCTCTCTCTCTCTCTCTCTCTCTCTCTCTCTCTCTCTCTCTCTCTCTCCACTCACTTCACTCACTCATTCTCTCTCTCTCTCTCTCTCTCTCTCTCTCTCTCCTCTCTCTCTCTCTATATATATTATATTATTATATATATATATATATATATATATATAGTATATATATATATAATATATATATAATATATATATATATATATATATATATTATCTGTCTATCTATCTATCTCCTATCTATCTCTCCCCTCTCCCCTTGCTTCCACCCTCTCTCCCTTTCCATTCTACCCTCCCTCTCCATCTTCTTTCCCCCACCTCACTGATAGCATGCGCCCCAGTAAAAAGATAAGCAAATAAAATTAAAAAAGGGACAGAAAAAAAAAACCGACAGCTGTTTCATAGATTTTTATGGATAGGTAACACCAATATTTTTTTGCGTCCGACGACATACCAGAAGGAGGGAGACAAAAAAGGGGAACATGCTTCGAGTGCTGTGAGGGAGGAGGGAGGGAGGGGAAAGGGAGGATGAGGAGGGGAGGGAGGGAGGGGAAAGGGGAGGATGAGGGAGGGAGGGGAAAAGGGGGTTGGATGAGGAGGGGAGGGAGGGAAAGGGGGTGGATGAGGGAGGGAGGGATGGATGAGGGGAGGGAGGAGGGGAAAGGGGTGGATGAGGGGGGAGGGAGGGTAATGGGGGAGTGAGGGAAGGGAGGATGGATGAGGAGGAAAGGGGTGGATGAGGAGGGGAGGAGAGGGGAGGAAGGGGAGGGAGAGAGGAGGAAGGGGTAATGAGGGAGGAGGGATGGATGAGGAGGGGAGGGAGGGGAAAGGGGGAGGACGAGGAGGAGAGAAAGGGGAGGATGAGGGAGGGAGGGAGGGGAAAGGGGTGGGTGAGGGAGGGAGGGGAAAGGGGGAGGATGAGAGGAGGGGAGGGAGGGGGGAGGAGGGAGGGAGGGAAAAGGGGATATGAGGGGAGGCAGGGGGGGTGGATGAAGGGAGGGAGGGAGGGGAAAGGGGGGAGGAAGTGGAGGGAAAAGGGGAACATGGGGGAAAAGAGGGAGGAGGAGAAGAAGAAGAAAGAGGAGGGTAGGAAGAGGAATAAGGATGGAGGAAATAATAACGAAAAGGTAGATAAATCTTCCTCCCTCTCCTCCCTCCCACCTTCCCTTCCCTCCCTCCTCTCCCTCAGAAGGACAGACGCACAAAAGGGCGATTAAACCGAACAAAACGCACTTATACACAAAGGAAATAAAAAACCCGATTGCACGCGAGAACGTCTTAAGGAGAAAGTAAAAGTGAAGACACCCTCGAATGCCCGGCGGGGGGGGGGGGGGCAAGAGAGGGCAGGGGAGGGTAAGAAGGAGGGCCGGGGAGAGGGGGATAGGGAGGAGCAAGGGGAGAGGGATGGGGAGGCAAGGGGAGATAGGGAGAGAGGGGGAGGGCAGGGAAAGGGAGAGAGGAGAGGGGAGGGGGGAGGGACACGGGGCAAAAGGGCAAGAGGGCAAGAGAGAGGGCAGGGGAGGAGGGGAAGTTTGATGAAGGTGAGGGAGATGAGACGGAGGTGGATACGCACACTCACTGTGTTTGTGTTTGTGTGTATATATGTTGAATGTATGTATATGTGTTGTATGTATATGTATGTATGTGTATGTCCGTTATGTATGTATATATATGTGTATGTATGTATTTATTTATATATGTGTAGTATGTATATGTATATATATGTTATGTATGTGTGTGTATGTATGTATGTGTGTGTATGTATTGTTATGTATATGTATTAATGTATGGTGTATATGTGTATGTAATGTATGTATGTGTATGCTGTGAGTGAGAATTCCTATCAGAGAAATGATTATAATAAAGACTGCTACGACGAAGAAATCAGAGACGAGAATATTCTACAGGAAAATATTTGAGCCAAGACGAACCCGCCGCTCGCTCGTCTCCTCAAACTCACTTAGAAAATAACACGAAGCGAATAAATGGATAAATACGTATTGGATAAAACGCATCGGTGTTCCTTTTGTTGGCGGAATAAATTATTTTCAACTCGTAGTCCGTTTGGAAAGTGGAATGTTGATCAACCTTGGCAAAGAAGAGTGAGCCGGATTGTGGAGATGGAATGGAATTACGCACTTTTAATAGGGAGGGTTGTAATGATTTCTCGTCTGGTTCTGTGTTCTCGATTTTAATTGTTTTTTTCTTTGTGTGTGTGTGTTTTTTGTGGTTTTTTTTTTTTTTTTTTTTTCTTCATGTATATATATTATTTCTATTATGTCTTTTCAATTTTTATTTCTTTATTTCTGTCCCAATTCCCATTCCATTTATTTGTTTTCCTTTCTCTCTTTCTTCTTTGTGTTTATTTTTCTCTTTTCTTTTATCTATCTTCTCTTTGGTTTATTTTTCCTTCGTTTTCTTTTATCTATCTCCTCCTTCTTCGCTCTTTTCTTTTTTTTTTCGTCATTCAATTTTTATCTCTCCACATATCTATCCCAATTCCACTTCCTTTTACACCCTTTTTTCATTCCCTTTTAAGATTTATTATTCTTTTTTTTCTTTCCCTTTTTTTTTTCTCTTTTCTTTTTTTTAATCCTCACTCACGCTGGACGGGTTTAAACTCGAAGAAAAAACAGGAGTGTTTGATTGTATAGTGTCAGATTATGCGGTGGGCTGTGTTTAAGTAACTGTTCCCTCGCTCGAGTGGTAAGTGTGTAAGTGAGGGGGGTGGGGAAGAGAGAGGAGGGGGAGGAGAGGGTCAAGAGAGAGCGGGGGGAAAGGGAGAGGAGGAGGGAAAGGGTGAGGAGGGAGAGAAGGTGATAGGGGAGAGGGAGAGGAAGAGGGAAGGCGACAAGAAGGAGAGGGAAAGGTGAGAAGAAGGAGAGAGAGAGAGAGAGAGAGGATGGATGGAGAGAGAGAAGAGAGAGAGGAGAGAGAGAGAAGAGAGAGAGAGAGAGAGAGGATGGAGAGAGAGAGAGAGAGAGAGAGAGAAGGGGGGGCGAGGCGGACAGGAGAGCGGCTGAAAGAAATATAAAAAAATCCCAAAGACCAAAAAACGAAAAGAATAAAAAAAAAATTTCCCAAACAAAATACAGAATAATCAAGGAAAACAAAGAAAGGGACCAGAGGGCGCCGAAAATGGTCTACCTAATGCCTCGTGAGATTAATTTTAGCCCGGCGCCCGGATTTGGTCAGCCTCCGGGACTCGGTAACTGACCCGCCCGAGTGTGTTTACTGGGGGAGGGGAAGGGATGGGGAAGGAGGGAGGGAGGAGGAGAGGCGAAGAGGAAGAAAAAGGGAATGGGGGAGGGAGGGAGGAGGCAGGGAGGGAGGTGCGGGAGGTGGATTGGGAGGGAGGAGAAGGGTGAGAGGGACGGTAGGGAGAATGGGGGGGGGAGGGGAGGGACGGTGGGAGGGGGAGAGGGAGGGAGGGATGGGGAGAGGGTG